CCTGAGACCTCTTCTGATGCTTTTCCCTCTACCTCTCCTACAGCAGCACAAAGCTTCACTTTTTCTGGTCTGCTAATCCGACGCTGCATGGAAACCTTGCAAATGAACAGGAAGCCTCAGACTGGCCATTGGGATTCATAGGGGATGCAGAATAAGTTATTCTGAAATAATAATTCCTGAAAGAACTATTTTGAAAGAAGCATATTCCTCTTCACAAGCAGGAGTTATTCATTCAAAATGACCGGCTTGGGAGTGTGGATGCGCTGCTTGTTATTTCGAAATAACTCCCCCGTGTAGACATTCCTGTCTGTCACAGCCACCTGCACAGATCCAACTGATGTTACCACATGGCTGTCTGTGGCTCCAGTTACAATTTATACTGTGAGGCTGTGTCTACACTGCACCCCTTTTCCGGAAATCTGCGGGGGATAAGCCGGAGAAAAGCGCCAGTCTAGACGCGATTCTCCGGAAAATAAGCCCTTTCCCGGAGGATTCCTTAGGAATTCAAGTAGGAATAAGAAGTCCTCCGGAAAAGGGCTTATTTTCCAGATAATCGCGTCTAGACTGGCGCTTTTCTCCGGCTTATCCCCAAGCCAGAAAAAAGCAGCAGCCATGTAAATGCAAATGCCGTGGGGAATATTTAAATCCCCCGCGGATTTGCAATTCCGACTGGTCTAATCTGCATCCCTTTTCCGGAAAAGGGGTGCAGTGTAGACACAGCCTGAATGTGCCAAGAACAGAACACAGCTGCCCCTCTCCAGCTGCCCCGCTCTAAAGACATCATTACCGCTAGCAGCAGTGCAGAAGTAAGGGGAGCAGTACAGCAACTCCCCCCTACAATAAGCCTGTACACACACAAACACACACACAACTGCTTTTGGGACAGGCCCCTTACAATTATAACATCATAACATTTCTTACATCATGAAATGCATGATTTTTAAATTCCTGTGACCATGAAATTGACCAAAATGGACAGTGAATTTGGTAGGGACCTATAGGTGATGATATCCTTCCCATGCCTCTTTCTTAATTGCCCTCTATCCTACTCCTCATTGAATGAGCTACATATCTCGTCTGCGGAGAATCCTCTTTTCTCTCAGTGGAATTGCCAGGCGTGAGCATCTGTATACCAGGCAGGCAGGATTAGTCTCCTGTCAGCCTTGTATGAGGCAAAACACAGCAGGATTTACTGCTTGTCTGATAAAAATCAGATGATTGCCCTCTGCATAAAACACGCCAGTTCCTGGAATTCTAGCCATTTCCTATTCTAGCTGTCTCACGTAGTCTGAACTGCTAGGAAGGCGGGTGGGGAGATATATTGGAGGGAGGAAGTTTCTGTATCCAACTGGATTCCATCTGGGGTCCTGATCAGTGTATGTGGGGCTACCATTCACTGGGACTCTCACCACCAGGACAGAACATGGAGACACGCATTGGTCGACCCAGACTCACCCTTCCACTCTCCATAACTTCTGCCTTCTTTCATCCAGCTGCTGCTACTTGCTAAAACTGGGCCAAATTCTCCTCTCAGCTGCACTGGTGTTAACGGGCCTGATCCCTGACCAATTGAAGTTAATGTGAATATTTCCAGTGACTTCAAAAGGCCGAGGGTCAGCCCCGGTATGGTTTACTCCTCTGAAGTCAGTGGATTTCCTCTGGATTTTTACCACTGAGACCAGAATTTGTCCCTGCGTCTGACTGGTACTAAAAGGGACACCTCTGCTAAGTGGGGCAGAAAAATTCAAATCCGCCTAAAAAGGCAGAGAAGATTTGCTCATTAAATAGTGTTTTACGGAGTCCCTCTCCACCCATTCACTGCTGCTAGTCCGTGTGCTTAGCCCAGGATATGTCATTCAAAGATGCTGTCATACAGGGGCCAATTTACCACGGTTTGTCAATGGAGCCTCTTCTAAACTCCCACTAGAGAAGCTGTCGGTATCTGAGGGAGAGAAGAATCCTCTCGTATTAGCCTGGTGCATGGGCAGCTTGACTAATGTCAAGGATGGTGCATTATTGATGGGAGCAAAATCGATCATTCCCAGTAGAGTACCCCAACCCTGCTTTGCTGTGACCATCTTTGAGGGTGCAGGGAGTGTGTCATTTCCTTGTCCCAGTCAGTGTCTGGCTGCCCTGCTGCGACAAGGGTTTTGTGAATGGGAGTTAGGTGTCTTTGAGGACTTAGGCCTTCTACACTAGGAACGGAATGGAAAACAACAGGAGTGGTGGATTGCTGTCACCGCCAACCTAAAGGTGAAAGGCTCCTCTGTCCTGTTGGCAGTTCCCAGCCTCTTTTGCTGCCTAATTCCCCATAACATCTCCTCCCCTGCCCCCCGCCCCGCACACACACACTCTCTCTCTCCTCTTGCACATCCATCTCTTCGTTTTCTATTCCTAGCATTCTTAATCCTCCCTGACCTACGTCCGCCAGACCTTATGGGAGTAAGCAAGTATTTCAGTCTTATTTAGTCAGCAGCTTAGTTGAACAAAGACTTGTTTTGCTGAACTGAGCAAAATGGGCCATGCTTTTATGATATTTTACTAGACACTATGGCAAATCCTGCACATATTTGACTTAGTGTCTGCAGCATTTATCTAATCAAAGGGATCACTCTGGCCAAACCTGGATTGGAACTGAGGTCCCAGGAATGAGGCTGTTAAGGGGCTGTGTTCTACCACCCCCACTCACACACATTGTTTCAAACAAACGAATTCCTGGCTCAGAATTCTCCTTGTTGAAGGGGAAGTGATATACCAGCCATGTGAGTTCAGAGGGGATTCCTTTGCATCTTTAACCATCACCCAGCTCCCACTACAGGAAAGGAACTCTAGACATCAATCCCAGGAAAGGAATGTGGGACTTTCCCACATTCCCACAAAACTGATTAAAGGTCTAGAAAACAAGACCGATGAGGGAAGACTGAAAGAGCTGGGTTTGTTTAGTTTGGAAAAGAGACGACTGAGAAGGGACATAATAGCGGTTTTCAGGTATCCAAAAGGGTGTTACAAGGAGGAGGGAGAAAAACTGTTCTTCTTGACCTCTCATGACAGGACAAAAAGCGATGGGCTTAAACTGCAGCAACGGAGGTTTGGGTTGGACATTAGGAAAAACTTCCTAACTATCAGGGCAATTAAACACTGGAATAAATTGCCTAGGGAGGTTGTGGAATCTCCATCTCTGGAGATATTTACAAGCAGGTTGGACAAACATCTATCAGGAATGACCTAGATGGTACTTGGTTCTGCCATGAGGGCAGGGGCCTGGACTGGATGATTTCTCGAGGTCCTTCCAGTTCTAGTATTCTATGATTCCCATACCTCCAGTAACTAAGCTGAAGCAAGATAGCGAATGGATCATACAACAGTAGCCTTGGAGTATAGGTGATGTCTATGGCTTCTGTATAGACTGTTAAGTATCTTTGGACACAGACTTTGCTTACTGAGCTCTTTCCATGCTCAGGTCATAACCATGATGTTCCATTCATATGTCCAGCAACAAAACCCACCAGCCTGCACCATTTCTGAGTCGGAGGCCCCAGAATTTCAGTGTTGAGTTGTGATAGGGAAGCCATTCATATCAGCAAAGGCTTTTGGATTCAGCATGACCTAGTCTTTCCTGCATGCCTGTGAAATGTGATTAAAACTAGTGCAGGGCCATTAACTCGCAGTTTGTAGACTAAATCGCCCTGCATTGATTGAGAAATAAACTGGGATGTTTTTTATTACAATGAGAACTGACACTAATCGTTAATTACTGGCCTTGCGATGCAATTCAGCTGATGCTGTTCAGTGATAAATTGATTACCACTTGTTGGGCTTGTGATGTTATGCAATGGAAATTACAGTGAATTATACAACCCACTGCCACATACTGGATAAACTGTCGTCTCATAAAGCCCTCAAACACCAGATGAGGCCAAGACTAAGTCAGATAAAGTGCAACTCCATTTTCTGACATTTGTAACATGCATTCTTACTGTCCTGTATTATCTGAAGGTCTGATCAAAAGCCCATGGAAGCTGATAGAAGATCTCCCACTAATTTCAGTGGGCTTTGGATCAAGATTTAACTCTATAGCATGTGTTGCGTGCTATAGTAGATAAGAAAGACACTTGCAGGACAAAGTTATGTTGCATTGTAAGATGTCTGGTGAGATTTTTAAAACACAAACACACAGGGAGGATTTTTCAGATTGATCCTTGAAAACTGAATACAGGAAAATGAGATCTTTTTCTAGGGGGAGATTTTTCAAAAAGTTTAGGCACCAAAAATAATAAAAAGTCAATGCAATTTTATGCCTAATACACTGTGCACTCACAATTCAACTACAGTCACACTTGTGCTCACCTTTGACAGGTACCTTTGTGTGCCTAGCTCTTCTGAAAATCTGCCCCTGAAGCTGTTGGGAAAGGCTGTGGAGTGAGAAGTGTTTATAGTTAAGTCTGGCCCTGTAAAACTTGGTTTATAGAGAAGTAAAATGAAAGTTCCCTGTTGTTACCATGTGTAAATTGCAATTCCGGTAAAAGAAAAGAAAAGAAAAGAAAAGAAAAGAAAAGAAAAGAAAAGAAAAGAAAAGAAAAGAAAAGAAAGCAAGCAGTGTGGGGTAAGAGAAGGAAAAAAAGCCCGAGGATAGTGAAGGGGAGGAATACGGCTAGAACTTTGTTCTCTAGGCAGGGTTTTTACAAGTTCTTACAATTCAACTAAAATTAAGACCAATAATAAAACAATTAAGCGTCAAGATCAATAGCCCAGCGAATGTACTACACTCATGGAGAATGCTCTTCTCTCTAAGCGCTGCCACCCCAGTATGTGCCCAGAAGCTGAAATCAGCAAAGTGTATGTAGATTCAATAATAAACAGTCAACAAAATCGCTGCTGCCCCACCAAAAAAAAAAAAAAAAAAAAAATCCAGCTTAGCATTCACCAGTGGGTGAGATGATTAAAGATTAACCCCCCTACCTCCTGCCTCCACCCCTCTGGGGAGTATAGGCCTTGAAGCTCAGCAAATCCTTTCAGAGAAATATTTGAAATAAAAGACAACAGATAGGGGACGCAGTGAAGGCAGCAGGAGGCTGCGAGGCCAATAACCTCCGACAAGGGAATCGCTGCAATCTGGCCCGTGTTTGCTGATGATAATGCGTCTTTCCAAAGCCCTGATAGACATGGAGATGGCAGATTATAGCGCAGCTTTGGACCCAGCTTACACCACTCTGGAATTTGAGAACATGCAGGTGTTGGCCATGGGCAACGGTAAGTCTGCCTCTGGGTTTGCTCTTGCCGGGAGAAGGTGGGATCGGTGGCAGGGCCAGCCAGTGCCTGGCAACAGGCATGTAGCTGGTGTGGAGGGCAGAGGAGGAGAAAGCACCAAGTCAGAAGGGGAATTCTCCCGTTTCTGTAGAGAAGTGTCTCTGTTTGACTAATGTTGCACTTGAACTGACTCAGTGACAACAGCTCAGGACCAAGGTGGTGGGTGTTGTATAAGAACCTGAATAGACCAGAATGTTCCTGCTCAGCATCTGGCCCCGGAAGGCCTGGGGGCCCCAGCGGACAGCCAGTGTTTCCCACAAACTCCTGCCTCAAAGGAAGGGAAAATACAGAATGAAGGTGCTTTACCTCCTTGCTAGGCAGGGCTTCAGAGTAAGGAACTTCCCAGGGCTTGACAGAGATACTGTTGGAAGAGTGAACCAGGACAGAGAGCAGCCCCCTGAGGAGTGAAATGAATGAAAACCCCAGAAGATTTCAGTGTGTCACATCATGCAGCTTGTAACTGGGCTTAGAGTGATATCTCCACATGGAGAGGTGCTGTAGATTGGGCCAAGAGGGATGGGGAGTGGTAGATCTCTCTTCATTATAAAGCGCTGCACTGGGTGCATGTTTCATGGACGCAGGTGGCCTGGCGTTTCTCTCTACAACAGAGGGACCATAGATACCTTGAACCCTGTGATAGAAATGTAGCCGTGTTAGTCTGGGGTAGTTGAAGCAAAATGCAGGACAATGTAGCACTTTAAAGACTAACAAGATGGTTTATTAGATGATGAGCTTTCGTGGGCCAGACCCACTTCCTCAGATCAAATAGTGGAAGAAAGTAGTCACAACCATATATACCAAAGGATACAATTTAAAAAAAATGAACAAATATGAAAAGGACAAATCACATTGCAGAACAGAAGGGGGATGCGGGGGGGTGGGAAGGGGGAGGAAGGAAGGTAAGTGTCTGTGAATTGCTGATATTAAAAGTAGGGAGAGTGGGATGTTTGTGAGTTAATGGTATTACAGGTGATATTTGGGGAAACTGTACCATTAACTCACAAACATCCCACTCTCCCTACTTTTAATATCAGCAATTCACAGACACTTACCTTCCTTCCTCCCCCTTCCCACCCCCCCGCATCCCCCTTCTGTTCTGCAATGTGATTTGTCCTTTTCATATTTGTTCATTTTTTTTAAATTGTATCCTTTGGTATATATGGTTGTGACTACTTTCTTCCACTATTTGATCTGAGGAAGTGGGTCTGGCCCACGAAAGCTCATCATCTAATAAACCATCTTGTTAGTCTTTAAAGTGCTACATTGTCCTGCATTTTGCTTGAACCCTGTGGGATGGCAATGAAATGCATAAGAGGCTCAGAGGGGAAGGCTGGGTCCCTCAGTTGGAAATAGTATCCGTGTAACTCACAGCTGGGACACGTTCCTGCTCACACACCCTGGGAAGGATCACAGAAGCTCTACTGTGTTTTGCAACACGGTCCCACTGGTTCCGATTTGGAACTTATGCGGGTTCATTTTTATTAGATGCTCAAGACTTAATCAATGACAATTCCTCTCCAACCTCCTCCTCCCTCCCCCCATTCCTGCCTAGATACTGGGTTAATTGCTAAGCTCAGTATGCTGCAGAAAGCGACTAACTCTCAGAGCTACCATAATGATGTCCCTGCTCCTAGGTCAGCTCCCTTTGCATGAGCCTGCTCTGAAGACACAAACAGCTTTTAGGGGACAAATCCTGCCACTGATCTCGTCTCGTTGTGGCTGCAGGACAAACTTCTCCTGCTACAAAGCGTCTAGACAGAGTTGGGCTGCCCGTGTAAATTTATTGTCCCCTGCCCAGCACTCCATGGTGTCAGCCTCCCCAGAGAGAGCAGACCTGAGCGGCGGGTGTACGCCGCCTGGAGTGGGGCATGGACTGTAACTCCCATTAATTGCACCAGGGTTGTTCATTGCATCAAGTGCCTGTAGGAAGAGCTCCCTTCTCCAATGCTGTGCCTCGTACCTTGGCTAAGAATGCTATGTCAGCAAACCTGACAGCTAGAGGTGGGAAAGGCTTATTAAATTCCCAGCCTCTGCCCAGGGGCTACTTGGGGGAAATGAGTGGGAGAGAGAGAACATAATAGGGTTTGTATGAAAACTAACTCCACAACCCTGAAACGTCCCTCCTCCACTGTCACCCCTTCAGCCCTTGTTTTGAGTCTTGGTCCCAAGCCAGTACTGTGACAGGCTGAGGAGTTTGGCTTGGAGAGTTCAAGGGACGTAGGGCAGTGGGATTAGCAGAATGGGAGCTTCCTTCACACTCCATCTCCTTGAGTTGGGTGGAACCAATTGACTTTGCAGAGCTGCCAATATTGAGTTTTACAGCTGGGCCCAAACTTTACTGCTAAGCTTAAAGCCCCTTCCATGTCAGCTCCAGCCCCGGTAGCAGCCTGTATTGGCTGTTCAGCTGCTCCCAAGTTGGGGGGGGGGAGGCAGGAGTCCAGCCCCCAAGCCCCACCCTCCCCAGGTGAATTCCCTATCCCCTAAGCCACTCCGGAACCCACCCCACCACCCTTCCTTCAGGAAGTACCTTATCCTGCCTTCCTAATGCAGGAAGCGTGAGTTGGCTCCTGCCTTCCTAACACGGTTGCCAGCTCCAGCAAACTTGTCCCATCTATCCCATGTATTGAACCCCCTCTCATCCGTGGGAAGTCATCACAACCTCTAAGGCACAGAAAGCCTGTTGAAGCTTTGTGGCGCCAGAGTAGACCTTCCTGAGTTTGCTTAAATACATTTTAACAGAGATGGCTGACAAACTCTACAGGGGTAGAATTCTAACTCGGCTATCCCTCTGAAAATTCTACAGGGGCAGCCCTGATTTTAAAAGCTGTAGCAAGCTGAGCACCATGCAACAGGGCCTGTGGGGAAAAGAGGAAAGTACCAACTTCATTTCCTATGACTTTTCTCTTTCAAGAAGTTTGTTTGTTCAGACACAGTAGGAAATGTGCCCTAGAAACAGTCTTCTAGTGACCCAGTCAATTTATCTGAACAGCTTCCATCTTCTTGATGTATCATACTTTGGGATCTTTGAGCTATAATGGAGAATATTTTAGTGATGGTGACTCTCAACCTTCCCGACTACTGTACCCCTTTCAGGAGACTGATTTGTCTTATGTAAACCTCCACCCGCTCTGGTTCACTCACTTAAAAACTACTTGCTTACAAAATGAGACATAAAAATACAAAAGTACACTAGTACTGAAAAATTGCTTCCTTTCCCAAATTTACCATATAATAATAAAATAGATTGGAATATGAATATTGTATTTACATAGAGCAGTATAAACAAGTCATTGTCAGTATGAAATTTTAGTTTGTACTGAATTCACTGGAGCTTTTTTATGTAGCCTACTGTAAAACTAGGCAAATATCTAGACGAATTGATGTACCTCAGAAGATCTCTGTGTACCTGTTGAGAACCAGTGGGGAGGTGAGGGTTAACTCAGCATTCTGGCAAAATTCCCACTCATGCAACCACAATCTGCCTAACTAAATAACCCACCCCTTCTGCTTTTTTTTCCATTGGATGCAATCCTCTACATGTTTAGCCGAAAATTACTCTAAGTATTGCTCTGTGCTGTTAAACAGAGGTTATGTTCCAATCCAGAAGTGGCAGCATTTCAATGGTGGATGTAATTCACACTTTTTTATAGCTTTGATATTTCTAGTTTTGGAAAATACTTTGGGATTGGCCAGGATAAAAATGACAATACAAATATAAAATGATTTTCAGAATGTTTTTAGTTCCCTGGCTTTAAAAGGGAATTAGCGGTTTCATCTTTTTTACCCTAACTTCTGACTAATCCCCATTAAACAAGCATTGTTGGGACAGCCAGGGAGATAAGACAGTCATTTAAGTTTCCAAACCACACAAATAATAATAGTTTGAAAATTATCCATCAGCAAATAAGTCTGTTTCTGTTTCCAGCCAATAAGAACAATAAGGAGACCTGAAGAATAAGCTTTTTGGGGGTAGGGATTGTCTTTTCGTTGTGTGTGTACAGGCCCAGCACAAAGGGGACTTGGGACCTGAACCCTGACGAGAGTCCTAAGGACTTTCTGTCATGCCTATAATAAATAAGGAGGTGCATGCAGAGCTCTCTGACATCTTTCTTCTCTGTTGCTATATCTTTGCTTGATGTGATGAATTTTTGGAAGAAAATGGCATTACTCATTTATCTGAGATAATTTCACCTCTGACTGAGACTCCATGACCAAGATGCTTCCTGCAAAACATCCCAAGGGCTACTAGCCAAAAGCTAATGAGATGGGAATGGGAAAGCGATTCACTCTCTTAGGGGGCAACTACACAACTATGAAAGTGGCCCCAAAAATCCAGAGTATCTATGGTAGGGAACAAAGCCCAGAAGAGCAGAATGCGTAGGGACAGGAGGCTATGAGCTCAGAGGAAGAGCAAATTCAGGGATGATATCGAAAACCAGGAGGGAGATTTGGAAGTACTATCAAAGATAGAAGTCTGGAAAGGGGGCAAGGGCTGTGGAGAAGGATAGAAAGAAAGTGTAAATAAAACTCTCATTAGCCCACTACAGGAGAGAGCATACCAGCTCCAAATTACTCATCATTAACTCCGCAGTGCAGGCTGATATGCCAGCCGCATAAACATTAATCCAGAGGACAGGGAAAACTTGCATGCTCCATACAGATGAGGAAGGCTACAGTTTGCTCTACTCTGCGTAAGCTCAATGTGGCCCTCTTGTTCTCGGCAAGATGCAAACACAGGGTACGTCTAGTTGCAAGGCTATTTTGGGATACCACAGGTATCCCGAAATAGCTACCCACATCCAAGGAATGCATCCGCTATTTCAGAATAATTTTTGAAATAATGGACACGCTATTTCGACATCCCTGTAAAGCTTGTACCACAAGAAATAAGGGATGTCTTGAAATAGTGCTTTATTTTGAAATTTGGCACCATTTGACGCACC